ATGAATGAATAAATGAACGAATGAACAAGAGGTGAAGAAGTGACAGAGCCAGACTGAAATTCAATGAGCACATCAGGGTAATGAAAGCCACGTAAGACCAGGTGGCCTGTCCGAGGACCTGAGGCTGGGGTCGCTTGGTAGCTGTGTGGAAATGTTTTCATGCTGATCATTGTGATTGGCCCCCCAAAAAGCTATAAGCAGAAAAAAAAAAAAAAGGTCAAACCAAAGCACCAACTAATGGTTTTGTTTGACAGATGCAGCCCCAGAGAACTGTGTTATCATTAGAATTGCTTGGCATCAATATTACTGAGAGATTTTGAGATTTTTTAAGGTTTGTTAGGTCAGAATCCTATGGTTGCACATAACCCTACATTTACAATCTGGAACAAGACAGATTGATTGTAACCAGGAGAGAGAGTTTACTTTTCTAACCTCTTAATACTTGCACAGAGCTATCACAGTGGGCTAAGCAAACTGTCACATCAGGTCCTTTGGCATTAAATACAAGTAGAGGTATTTTAGGGAAAACAAGAGTTATTTGAAGGAAAATCTCCAGAAGAGACTCTGAGTATTAGTTACATGGAAATAGATAAGAGAGAAATATCAATGTTAGGAAAATAAGAAAAACTGTTCTTAGTTGGTTGTACGCACCTTAAAATTCTCAAAGTGTTTTCAAATTCAATATCTTATCTGACATTCATAATGATGCTCTAAAGTGGGTTTTGTCCCTGATTTATAGAGGAAAATACAGAGGGTCAGAGGAGTTAGGCTGAAGGTTTCCCCAAAATCCAGACTCTAGGAGACTGTACCCGGGAAGGAAGAATGGAGCTGCAACCTCGCTAATCATTAGAGGAAGCAAATCAACACTACAGTGAGGCACCACCTCACACCTGTCAGAATGGCCATCATCAAAAAGGCTAGGGCTTCCCTGGTGGCGCAGTGGTTGGGAGTCCGCCTGCTGATGCAGGGGACGCGGGTTCATGCCCCGGTCCGGGAAGATCCCACATGCCGCAGAGCGGCTGGGCCCGTGAGCCATGGCCGCTGAGCCTGTGCGTCCGGAGCCTGTGCTCCACAGCGCGAGAGACCACAGCAGTAAGAGGCCCGCGTACCGCAAAAAAAGAAAAAAAAGAAAAAAAAAAGAAAGAAAGAAAGTCTACAAATCATAAATGCTGGAGAGGGTGTGGAGAAAAGGGAACCCTCCTGCACTGTTGGAGGGAATGTAAATTGGTACAGCCACTATGGAGAACAGTATGGAGGTTCCTTAAGAAACTAAAAATAGAGCTACTGTATAATCCAGCAATCCCACTCCTGGGCGTATATGCAGAGAAAACACCAATTCAAAAATGTACATGCACCCCAATGTTCATAGCAGCACTATTTACGAAAACCAAGACATGGAAGCAACCTAACTGTCCATCGACAGACAAATGTATAAAGAAGATGTGATATATATATATAGATATAGATATATATGCAATGGAATATTACTAAGCCATAAAAAGAATGAAATATTGCCATTTGCAGCAAAATGGATGGACCTAGAGATTATCATTCTAAGTGAAGTAAGTCAGACAGAGAAAGACAAATATCATCTGATATCACTTATATATGTGGAATCTAAAAAAAATGATACAAATGAACTTACTTCCAAAACAGAAACAGACACACAGACCTAGAAAACAAACTTATGGATACCAAAGGGGAAAGGCGGGGGAGGGATAAATAAAGAGTGTGGGATTAACAAATATACACTACTATATATAAAACAGATAATCAACAAAGACCTACTGTACAGCACAGGGAACTATATTCAGTATCTTGTAATAACCTATAATGGAAAATAATATATATATAATATACATATTCTGCGAATAATATATACATATATAAATATATAAATATATATATATATATATATATATATATAACTGAATCACTTTGCTGTACACCTGAAACTGACACAACATTGTAAGTCAACTATGCTTCAATTAAAAAAATAAAGAAGTTCCCTGGTGCCCTAGTGGTTAGGATTCGGCACTTTCACTGCTGAGGCCCGGGGTCAATCCCTGGTCAGGGAACTGAGATCCCGCAAGCTGCATGGCGTGGCCAAAAAAACGAAAAAGAAAAAGAAAGAATGGGAGTTGGTTCAACATGAGAATGGCCCTGGACCATCAGAGGCCTGGGGTGGACAGAGTGACCCTCCCCTTCCTGGTGCAGTGGGCACCTCAAGGGTATTTCAGTAAGGACTGCTCAGCCACCCTGGTTTTCGAGCCCAGGGTGTCGCTGGGTGATGCTTAAACAGCCCATCAGAGGAGGACAGGTGATCCATGAAAAGATATTTGTTAGCTGCAAACTAGGGTGTAAGGCAGGGGGCGAGATGGGAGTGCTTTGTGGCCAGCTGAGTGCAGTGAAGATGCTAAGCCCTCTGAGTGCCACACACGGTCTCTGTCTCCCAGCTGCTGAATTGACTGAGTGCTGGTGCTTTATGTTCATCATTCTTCTCGGGAAGAAGAGGCAACAAAGACTGGTCTGTTCATCTGGGGGTTTAACTGTTGTTTTTTGTAACAATTGAGACTTTCACAAAGAATTAGCAAAGTATATGTTCAGGCCAAGAGCATTGGAATATTCCAAGATTATTGTGAGCTTGTATTTGTCTGGCTGCTTTTAGTTCAGAATTCTCAAGTCATACCATAAATTTTCAGTATTATAGAAAAGAATGATAGAGATGGTTAGAATTTGCATTTTATACAAAACAATAGCCCTTGATACTTGCTCCCACTTACGTAAAAATTGATGCCAACATCCCTGCAAAGATGCATTTGCCTGTGTTTAATGAAGTAACGTTGGACTTTGATCTTGACCACATGATGATGATTATAAATGTGTTAGCTTTGCATAGTCCCTTTTTATAAGTGTAACTACACCACATAAGCAAAGCAGGAGAGACAGGGGGAAGTCTCTGTAAAGCCAATAAATGGTGGTTTCCTGTTTTCTTTTCCAGCTTTCCTTCACCCTTTAGCAGCTCATTTCTTGTGCACCAAGCAACTAATTAGAAGAGGTGGTCTTGCCCTTGATTGGCGGATGGAGAAGCTCAGCCAGAGGGATGTCCAGAGCAGCCAGAGCAAAGCAGTAGCTCTGGGTTTCTGACTTGCCAACCCCCCCACCACCACCAACTGGGCTTTGCTCTGAGTCTCCACTGTTGAAAAGACAAATGTTAAAAAGGAACCATAAGCTCTGAATTTAAATATGTGAAACAGTCTCCCATTCCCAGTTTGTAGGGATCCGGTGCCATTTTCCCCGTGAATGAAAAAGACGTCTTCCCAGGGGAGTTATGGGTGGGTTATCAGAGAGACCTAAGTTGGGAGGATCTTGGTCCCCAAGCCACACAGACCTGTGTGGCTGCTGCCCTCAATTCCTATACAAGGGAACAGGTATGCAGTGTAGCCCAGCCAGGCCCTGGGGGTGAGGTCCAGGTCCCGTTCAGGTCCCCTTACACAGATGGCACATGCCCGCAGTGTGCTGTAACAAAAATATTACATGCCGAGGGCCTGTCCAGCATTGTTAGTGAAAGTTCATAAACAACAGGAGACTGCTGAGAACGGTGTGCACGCATTTGCTAGTGGGTGAAACTCAGGGTGTTTCCATCCCACCCACAAAACACGTGCATGGGATGCTTGGGAAGACAAGCAGGTCTTCCAGGACAGGTGAAGGGAAGTCAAGTGCGAGGAATTGTAGCTGAGAGACTAAGAGAGCGTTTCTGTTGATGGGCCATGAGGAGGCGGCGTGGGGAGCAGCTGAGCCAGGAGCAGTAAGAGTGGTGCCGACTCATCTGATGGAGGGTCCAGCTCTGCCCAGCCCCTCATGGTCCTCTGTCTGCCCATTCCCTCTGATGCCAAGTGTACCTCATTCCCCAGGGCTCCCTGGAGGGGTGGCGATGGCCTGAGACACGGCCACCTCAGCGGTGTCTGCTGGTCCCTTCTCGCTCATGGTCTAGAGCCTGCATCCATCCTGAGCTAAAGCAGACCCTCTGGTTTCTGCAGACCCAAAGGCTCCGTCCTTCAGACCGGAGCACCACTGGTCACCGTGAGGGGAGTGGACCTCTCCTGGCACAACCCCCCTACCACCGGCGGTTGTGTGAGGAAGCATTGGCCTCCCCTGGACCCCTCACTGGGGACTCGAGGACAGGCTTCCACCTCCATGGAAATGGCCCTACCATCTTCTCAGGAACTGGTTCCCTCATGGCATGAATTACAAGAAAGTCACTCATTGCTGCTGAGCTTGAACATAAAATGTTGGAATTGTGAAGTGTGTGTGTGAATCTATAAATATACACATCTATACATAAACATGTATCTCTAAGTTATCATTAAAGGCATTCTAATGACGGGAGGTGGTGGGAGGGAAGGGAAGTTAGAACAGCATTTTGCCTCTGGGATAATGGGCTCCGTTTTGCATCGATGCTCTTTTGATAAAGCCGGTCCTCCCCACTTGAGCACGGGACCTGGAGCAGTGGCCGCCTTCCAGCATCCTGGGATGAGCTCGTTCTGAGGACACCAGCAGCCCGCGTGTCTCTCTCTCCCCAAAAAGCTTGCCCGTGGGGCTTCCCTGGTGGCGCAGTGCTTGAGAGTCCGCCTGCCGATGCAGGAGACGCGGGGTCGTGCCCCGTTTCGGGAGGATCCCACATGCCGCGGAGCGGCTGGGCCCGTGAGCCATGGCCGCTGAGCCTGCGCGTCCGGAGCCTGTGCTCCGCAAATGGGAGAGGCCACAACAGTGAGAGGCCCGCATAACGCAAGAAAAAAAAAAAAAAAAAAAAAAAAGCTTGCCCGCCACTGGACCCCTCCGTCCATTTGGTAACGAAGCTGTGATGTTCTATATCTCTCCTTTCATCACACTGACTCAGACATCAGAAATCCCCGCCACTTTGTGTGTTCTTAACAATGAGGGTGGGAATTGGGATTGCTGATGGGTTCTAACCTGGTTTATCTTTTCCTCTCACTCAGGGGCGGATCTGTAGAAAAGCGGGCAAATCAAAAAAGTCCTTCAGTCGCAAGGAAGCCGAAGCTACCTTTAAGAGTTTGGTGAAGACTCATGAAAAATACGGCTGGGTCACCCCGCCCGTCTCTGATGGCTGATGTCTGCAACGTGCATTAGACGCTTAAGCCGCCTCTGCACACACACAGATACCCGACATCTCCTCCTCCACGCTGAGCTTCCTTCATCCTTTTTCACTCCAGCCGGAACTGAATCCTGAATGCCAAGGAGACGTTTAAGTTATTTATGACCAGATGTGTTTACAGAGAGAAAGAGGGAGCCAACGCTCTTTGGGATTAGGTTTCAATTATAAATGAATGATCATCTCTAAGTCACTTTAGAACAAATGTCAAGATGGTGACATTCCCCAGCCCGCCTGCCCCTCCGCCCGCCCCATCACTTTGGCCCTTAGCTTCTTTCCATGACAGCAACTCCAAAGAGCAGGCAGGAAACTCAGTGCCCCATGCTGGACCCGTTTACATGTAAAAGGCGCCGTTCATATGTAACAGGAACGCCCTGCATCACCAGTACATGTTTGCTGTGCTCTGTATCTCTGTTTCTCTCCCTGGCAGGTCAACATAACTTGAAGACGTGTCTTCCTGTGGCCCCATGTCATGACATGTAGACCTCATTTGTGCTATGACCTTTGGCTCATCATGAAAACAAAAATTTAATATTGCCAGGTTCTAGTGATTTAAAACAGCAACTGCCCACTTGTTTAAACCGTGCTCCCAATGCTGATGCTGCAGTGTGTGTGTGTTGTCCACAGCTCAGCCCATGCCCGTGGGTGAAGCGGGGCATGCTGTGGCCATGATGGGGCACACACGGTGCAGATGCCAGGGGCGCCCTCCCTGGGGCTCAGAGCAACGGTGGTGAGATGCGGACAGTCTCTCCCGATATCCTGAGATGCTCCTACGACATTTGTGTTCCTGTCTTCTCTCTGCTGGTCAACCCACCACCAAAAGCAAAAGACAATGTCCCATTCACTGAAGTCACCTTACTCATTTTCTTCTGTGTGCTCGTGACAGGGAATGCCAGAACTGCCAAAGGAGACCCAGTGACCGTACGATGATTTGCATGGCCCAGTAGTCACTTGTGTGTCCCCGAGGCTGGGATACGTGAGCACCCTTGCTAGGATATAAATTTCTGTTATTTAACTCCCCACAATTTCATTTTTCTCTTCTGTTAAGTTACTTAGAACTTTCTAAGAAAAACCATGAAATGAAACACCATTTATAATAATATGCGGAAAGAGGTTAAAAGTGTTCATTCCAAGTGGAAAAATCTTATTGGACACATTTTAAATAAAATCATGCATACCTGAATCCAGTCATTGTGGGCTATCCTTCCATTTAAAATATTTAATCTATTTTCAAAATTTAATATTTCAAATACTACAAATACCATGACAGCATTCTGAGCAAGGTGCAGGAAAAGTCTTAGGAACCCATGGTCTTTGCAAAAATCCAGTGGATTAAAATCGCCCCCAGAAGCAACTAACTGGAAGCATTAAAGGATGGTTTGGCCAAACTCGGATGTTGCCAATTATATTTTGCCACTATGAAGGAAGGGGAATTTTCTTTGCTGATTGTATTAAATTCTTCAGGCAGTTTTGGGTATTCAGAGACCTGTTCACTCACCAACGTGATCAGAGATCTGAGACACCACGCCTCAAAGGACGGGGGTCAGCTCCTCCCAGCAGGTTTGGTCATTCCTCTAAAATCTACCCTTTATTGCTACTTTTATTTTTTTTTACAAAGTTCTGATGTGCCCCAGATACACATGCAGTTCTGTGCAGCCAAAATGCCTGACCTCCAGCTCAAGTTCCCTGTGAGTAATAATAGTCATGAAATTTGATGACAATGAACTTCAAGTGTCCATTCACCTGATCCTCCACAGCGGAATTCTCCATCCTGGAAACCTGACGTTTAACCCATGGTCTTTGGGCCCCTGGGCTCCTGATTGTAATGGAATTACACGGTGGATATTGTAGCTCTAGGGCAGAAACACCGGCTAGGCAGAGCACCTGAGTTTCTTTCTTTCCAGATAGTTTCCTCTTCCAAATTTTAAAATAAAAACAACTTTCTTTTAGGAATGTATATATATATTTGGACATATGTCTATATATCCACAGCTGGGTCACTTCAGTGCTGCTTATTAGCTGATTGAAGAGCTTGGCCACAGTTGGTGCAGGTGTAGCCAGGAGGTGACTTAAAACCTAAGGGTGGGAGAGATTACTGCCGACAGCAAGGGGGAGGGAGACCGTTGGCTCAATTTCAACCTCTCTGTACACCCTAAACTTGACTTTTTTTTCCATGGCATTTCCAATAGGTTTTTTAGAAACTGGAAGTTATAGAAAAAATACTCTTTAGTAAAAGAAATATTATTTTTCACTGAAATTCGTAAGACTTTCTTATTTTAAAAGCAGCAGAGAAGAATTTAAAATTCAATTATTGCTTTGACTCTTAGTCTGAAGCAAGAACTCCCTTTCTGGGGGCTGGAGAAAAACATGGCCGTGTTGGCCAAACAGCAGAGCCCTCTGGCCATGGACATTTCCCGATGACCCCGCATGTGGGTCCTGCTGGGCTCACATTCCCACACAGGCCAAGAAATCCATCCCTCTCCAGGCCAGCAGCAGGGGGATAATTGGACGGGGCTGGAGATGTTCACGGCCCACCAGCTCCACAAGCCCGCTTATGGAAGGAACTTGAATCCAGCCAGTGGCCACAGAACCAAGGGAAGGAAAAAGTACAAACTCACATGTGCCTCCTTTCCGTTCAGCAGTTGTCCTGGACTGACTGCCCTTACTCCTGGGTGTCCCCTCCACAGCGGGCCAAGGGCTGTGCTTGGGACTGCACGTGGCTCATCGGCTTCATAAAGATCAAGAATTACTTCTGCTTAGGAAGTTCTCTGTGAGCAGTAAGGTTCCACACTCACACCACATGCACACTCACACACACACACACACACACACACACACACACACACAAGACTCACAATATCTAAAATTCATTACTCTGAAAAAAATTAGGCCTCAATTTTTCAGCCCCCAAGTTTACTCCATTTTTCACAACTCAGCCTTATCTCATGAGTGGAAAATCTGTGGCCTCGTGAGAAACACCCGGTATAGAAAGACACATGCCCACAGTGTCTGTGTGATACTGGCAAGTCACGTCACATGCTTGAGCCCCAATTTCCTCGGCCATAAACTCCTACCAGGTTGGCGTGAGACTTGACTTAAACAATGAGGGAAAGTGCTTGGGAGCCAAAAATTGTCATATGAATTTTATGTGTCATTTTTATAGTATGGAAAAATTATAATAACAACAGGATTTCACTAGAACACACTTGGATAGAGACTCAGACTGAGCAATTACAATGGTTCAAATACAATTATCTTATAACCCTACACTGGCTTTCTGTCCCCAATCCTTTACTTTAAGTCAATCAACCAAACTTAGCATCTCTCTACCCACTCAGATACAGGGAATGTAGAAATTAAAGACATGGCTCCCTCCTGGAGAAACTCACAAGACAAGAAGAACACACAGATAGCTAAATGCTAAATTGCATTGCAGCAGTTGTCCACATGGTGCAAGGCCAGAGGCTTCCTGACTGATAACCAGGGAAGATTTCAGAGTGAGTCAGGTTTAAGCTATGGCTGGGGGAGTGGGAAGGACAGGGGTCGGGCATGGTCTCCATCCACACTGGCCCTGGAGGGGGGAACTGGGCAGCCACTTGTCACTTCTCCCCTGCAGGGACCCTGTCTGCAGATCTGATTTCAGGAGGCAGGACAGAGTCCAACCCCACAGCCTAACATGGCTTGTGGGGCTGGCCCCTTCCCTAAGAACTGGATTTTCTGTGTTTTATCTGAACCCTCCTAAAAGCACGCAGAATTTTCATGGAATTTTCTTTCTAGAGAAGCAGGGCTGCTTCCCAACTGCAGTGAGGGCAGACCCATTGAATCTAGGAGACATTTAATCTAACTTTATACACCCTACAGTGGAGGCCATAAACCCAGAGAGGTTAAGAGGCTTTTCCAAAGTCAACTGGAGAGGTGAAGATAAGCAAGCCCACAGTCTGGGTGGTGCTTTCTGGTCCTCCTTGATGCTTCCTATGGACCATTTGGCAATTCACATGGACCACATCCAAGCGCACACCTTTTAGCCCACTGTTGGGTCAGAAGAGCCACAGGTCTTCCAAGCTGGCTGGGAATCACCCAAAGTCATCCACTCTGCGTTGAAAGCAACTTGGTGCAAAAGGCAGTTTCCACTCCCTACTGTTTTGGGAAGCCATGGTGAGGGGCTTAGAGCTCAGTCCATGTGGTCACAGTCAATACTTTTTTTCCCTCCAAAGACATTAAAATAAAATACAGCTTCATTCCTTAACTTTATGCTATGATGCTATGTTCTATCTTATCTGTCTGATTTTTGCAGCCTCCAGTTTACATAGTATTGAATATCACTCAATCCCAGGGCCCATCTGACCTGCAGTATGTGACCAACGAACTGGGAGAGCCAAACACTGTTGTCATAGGGAAGGAAATAAGCAATGTTAGCTCTGTTCCAGAAGAAACACAAGAGCAAAGTGTGCTGGCCAAAGAGACATAATCAAGGCAGAGTATTTGAAAAGAGTGTAGATCCAAAAGTAACCCAGATTTTATCACAAGGTCATAATAGCGCTAAACAAATAGTAGAGTGGACCTTGAGGAGTCTAGTTCCAAGGTCGTCCTCTTGGCTCATGAAGGCAGTATGTGGTGAGCAAATAAATACCTGTACTCCTTCCCACTGCAGATTCACCCTGTTTGTCCTGCAGAGTTAAAACAAGGAGGTGCTTCCCCATTTCTTCTATGGGAGGTAAATTGGCTGTCCTGCTGTGTAGACATGCAATCACTTTGTATCTCTAGATCTTGGGCAATCACTTGTGATGACACTAACTGAGCTAAAATAGAACGGTTGTAAACTGATATGCTTGGTTTCACTTCCTGCTTGTCCCTTTTACGGAAGTGATTCTTTTTCATGAACGTTGTCGCCATTTTGACCATGGTCGGATGCTAATCTACATGCCGTAGGCTACTGGATAATTTCAAACTATCACTATAGTTGTCCTAATCTGTGATGCTCAAAAGGGTGGGTGGAATTGCATG